ACAGTGGAGCATCTAATTACAGCACATACGACGAAGATTTTGAGAAAGGAGAAATAAAAAATGCTAATGGCAAATGCATACAGATCCAAGGCATAAGTTTTGGCACTTTATGCTGTAGCACACCTCACAAAAATTTCCTAAATGAAGTTGGAGATGTCCTGTACGTACCCGCATCGCTGTGATTTATCCAGTGTGTCTACATTAGACAACAAAGGCTTTGACATGTGTTTCGGAAATAAGAAATGTACTATTAGCAAAGACAATGTTGTATACACACAAAGTAACGAAAAGTGGAAAATATATGAGGCTTGCAGGTGAATAGGTACACCTGGCACATGAAAGGAGGGACAAAGAGAGCCTGGAACTGACACAGATGCCTAGGCCATCGTAATCCGAAGGTAATCCTAGACCTTCAGAACAAGAACCTTGCCAAAGGCGTTAGTCAAACCATGTGACATCAATGACATAAGCAAATATGCGTCTCCTTCTTTGGTGGTTTTAAAACAGAGGCCAGGTGGCCATCTGACAGCCATGCAGATTGTGTGAACTCAGGCAGATCACAGGAAGGGAGGGAGGGCAGGGAGGGTTGCATCAGGGCTTAGTTCTCGTGCCCCTTTCTTACACACCCAGGGAAATGTGGATCACCACTTTGGGTCCAGGAAGCAATTTTTCTCCAGGCCAGTTTGGCTGGAGATCCTGGAGGGGTTTTTTGGCCATCTTCTGGGCGTGGAGCAGGGGTCACTGGGTGTGTGTGTTGGGGGGAAGGTATTTGTGAATTTCCTGCATTGTGCAGGGGGTTGGACTCGATGTCCCTGGAGGTCCCTTCCAACTCTATGATTCTACGTTGTAAAACAGCAGAAGGAGTTAGACCCTCATTTCCACCCCGAACCAAGAAACTTATCAGCAAGCCATTAGAATTAATTCACAGTGATGTCCCTGGACCAGCACATGTAATATCAAATGGTGGAAATCGGTATCTTTTAATCTTTCTGGATGATTTCTCAAGGTACTCAGCGGCATAACTGCTGAGGCAAAAGAGTGAAGTTCACAAATTCCTGAAGAGGTACACCATCACTATCGGTTCCAACAAGTTTGGAAGAAAGCCTCAAATGCTACAGATGGATAACAGTGGTGAGTTTATATCGCATCACACACAAACCTTCTTGGAAGAGGAAGGCATCCTGCACAGGAAAGTCAATAAGCTTTACACCCGAGAAGAACAGCACTGCTGAAAGGGAGACCTTTACTGGAGATCAGCAAACACAGGCTCATGGACGCAGGCCTGCCTACCCAATAAATGATGGGGCGAACTATCTCCCGAACAGACTGCCCACAAAAGAGAACACACACACACACCCCTTACCAAATATGGCATGACAAGGTTCTAGCTGTGGGACACAGAGTATTTGGCAGCAAGGCCTTTGTGCTCAAACCCAAGGAGAAAAGACAAGAACTCAATTCCAGAACCAGAGAAAGTGGGGTTTTGGGGGATACGATTCTGGAAGTAAAGGGTACAGCGTGCTGTACCCAGAAACAGTTGACGTCTATGTACCCTTTACTTCCAGAATCGTATCCCTCAAAACCCCACTTTCTCTGGTTCTGGAATCGTGCCAGAGATTCAGAGCAGTACAACACAGGAAGAAGCAGCGAGTGCGAATGAGAAGACAGGTGGACTGGACAGCAGATGAAAATCTGGGACGACACCTCCGATGCTCATCAGGACCGAACAAAGGTTCACCAGCCTTGCACTTGTCCTACCTCACAAGGTCAGTGTTACCGCCTAAACCTTCTACCTGGAGGAAGTAGAACAGATGCCAGCAACCAAAGCCAGTAGTTGGGAGAAGGCCGCACAAGAGGAGATTGGTGCTCTACACAAAAATAAAACGTGGACCTTGACAAAGCTGCCACCAGGAGAGAATCTTATTGGATGTGAGTAGGTGTTTAAGGCCCAGCAAAAATGCAGATGGAAATGTGGAACGCTACGAAGATTAGTTGCTAAAGGCTTCTCACAAGAATATGGTCGGGACTTGGATGAAACGTTTGCACAGGCAGTGAAACATAATACAATCAGGTTACTTTTGAATGTAGCAGAGACCAAGAAGATACAGGTCAAACTGCAGAAGGGGCTGAATTGATTAAAACAGGCAGCATGTGCCTGGAGCAAAAAATTACACACAGTGCTCATAGCACAAGGCTTCAAGCAAATGTCTGTACACTAAACACAAAGATGAACATTGTACTTTTATTCTCGCATACGTTGATGACTTGATTCTGGGTTATGACAGGCAAACTGGCGATACCAGTGTGGTAGACTGCCCAAACAGAGAAGTAGAAATTAAGGAGGCTAGGAGATGTTTTTTACTACCAGGGCATACAAATTGAAAGGAAGATGGTTAATTTCTCCTAAACCAGAGACAGAAAGTAATCAAACTCTTACAAGACATTCTGTCTAGAAAATGCCAGCACAATGGCAACACCTATGGAAACTGACCTTCGTAAGAACACCAAAGTGAGCCTTTACCTAGAGACAATCAGTACAGAAAACACCATAGGAAAACTTCTCTACCTAAGCACCACTAGCAGATCTGATACTGCAACCTGTGTCGGGATTCTTAACAGAAAGACAAGCACACCAAGCAAGAAAGAGTGGGTTGCAGTAAAAAGGGAGGCTGGATAACTTAAAGAAGCTACAGTTGCCGTCCACCAGTTAGTTGGTTACATGGATGCAGATTGGGCAGGAGACCGCTGAGACTCTGAATCCGCAAGTGGGTACTTGTTCCTAGATGGAGGTGGACCAATCTCTTGGGCCCGCAGAAAGCAAACCACAGTTCAGTTTGTCTCCCACGAAGTCTGAACAGATAGCATCTGCTGAAGCATGCAGAGAACTGCTGTGGCTAGACCAATTACTAAAGGAGGCTTCCTTCTCTCCTTCAGAGAGGAAATCGTTGGAGCCCTCGTGCTGTGCCATTCCCTCTCTCTCTCTCTCCCCCTCTCCAGCCGGAGCCTCGAGAATCAGAGGGAGGAGGGGAAGAAAATGCAGATGAAGGGAAGAAGCGGAGAAAGACGCAGGAGGGGGGAGGAGGTTAAAGTTAGCTGCTAAGAGCTGAAGAGAGAAACTAATGGGAGAAAAACAAAGGAAATTAAGCACAAGCCCAACTTTGTGCTGCTCTCCCTACTGAGGCAGGAACAGAACTGAGGAGATGGGCGTTCCCCACCAAGAGGACAGGAAGTTGAAGATTATTGGTTCCTGCCTCCCTACAGATAGGGTGGGAAACACCCATCAAGATGTCCTCCTCTCAGAGGGAGAAGTGGCTGTACACACTAAGCGCAGCGGTGTGAAGTTTCGCTTAGTGCGTGTCACCTAACTGAAAAGGGCCTGATAGAGACGGCGTACCATTCAACAGGAGAGACGGTGGCCGGCATCTTGACCAAGCCTGATTTGAGAAACTACAAGTTAAGCTGAAACTTGAGGACTCTTGCATGCAACATTAAGAAGGGGTGCTGGATATTGTAACTCTGCATGCAAGAGGGGATTGTGGAGGGAAAGGGTTAAGTGCATGCTCTCACTCGGGGACACTTGGCAACTGGCCTCACCCTGTCATTGGTTAGATGCTCAGCCTCTCTGGCCCTTGCTTTTGCCTTCTGTTTCACCTTATTTAGGACCTCGCTTCTTCCCTCTCTTACCTGGGCTTGGAGGTGTAGCAAGTTAACCTATTTGAAGTTAACCTGTCCACATTAAGTTAAATGTACCCTGTTGCGGAATTAGGGCCTGGAATAAGCCTCAGTCCTGTTAAACCCATGTTGCTTTAATTTCTACAGAAAAGTCGCCTCTATGGCTGAATCTTTGGTTCTGTCTCCCAGGAGGCTATAGAACTCTGCTGGTGCTGTGGCCTTCTGGTACCAATAACCCTGTACACGATTTTTGGCCCTAGAGGATGTTTATACATTCCAGAAGTTAGTGGTGTTACCACCAGAATCTAGATAGGCAAGGTATTTGAACTGAGCTTCTTTGATGCTCCTTGACTTTCTGCGAGCTTCCAATCCTGACCCCAGAGGTAGAAAGAAGGGGAGAGACTTGGGTTGGAACATTGGGTCAGTTCTAGTTTGGCCTGCGTCACATTCATGGTAGTACATCAGTCGGTACATTAGCAGCTATGGGTCCAAGAAAGATATATGTCTGGTTTACTAATGGCAGGGGGCAGGCCATCAACAGCTCTGTGTGAGGCCTTGGTAGCTAGTCTCAGTTTTATACAAGTGCACTACTTTAAGTATTGGGTTTGTATTGGAAATATTCTATGTTGAATCCTGAAATGCTACAAAGTGTTCTCTGTCTTAAGAGTGTATAATGGAATAAACTGAGCTTTGTTTAAGAGCCACTGTCTCTCTCTCTCTCTACTAGATTCAGCCCCTTGCCAGTCTCCACCCAAACAATGAAAGAACTCAGGGGAACGTGTGTGTGTGTGTGTGTGTGTGTGTGTACAGGAAAAGTCCTGGGTCGCAGAATCCCTCAACATACCGACAGGAATACGTCATGTAAGATGTGCTTCTAGTTTTGTAAGTAAAATTTCTTTCTCTTGTTACCATTGGAGTGGGATCGTCTTTGTAACTGGTTTGAACAGCATTTCCCCCTTAACCAGGAAACGTGGAGGATCGATGACACTACGAAAAGTTGTGCTTCCGAGGCCAATGATTTTTTTTTTACATTTAACCTGTATTAACCTGTCGTACAACTGGTTTTTAAAAACTCAGTCTTTTATTACAAGTTTTATCCAAATTTCTTAACAAAACAAAACGATAGATAGAAAAGGACCAACCCCCCCCCCCCAACAATGACAACAACAAAAAAAAAATATCCCGATTTTGGGGAATTAGTTTCAACGAAATTACAAGTCAAACTTAACTAGGGCTAATGTATAAAACTCAAGATAACCAGATGAGATGGTGGGGGAGAGGACGAAAATTCTAGCCCAAACTGCTGCTCTGAATTCAGATGGGTCTTCTTGGGTTTTTTTTTTTTAAGGCTTAATATTCACTGAACACAAAAAGGGGGGGGGTCCATCTTTCTCCAATGCTTCCATCCCACCTCCCTTGCCAGCACCAACATATTGGTCTCCATCTCAAGAACAGGAAGAACTACAATTAACAATATTCAAACTCCTCTTTGCCTCACTCAGTTCCCTTCCCTTCCAATAACCCTCCCTGTGCATCTCTGCAAACAAAAATGGTATTTACTGACCACTGCACCTTTAAGGATGCAGTAGATTTGGGGAAGTGAGTGACCCAAGACCAGCAATAAATGAGCTGGGACCCCCAAAAGGAACAGGAACAGCCCAGGTCAAATACCTCCAATTTCCCTTCTTGTTAAAGGCGTTAATTTGCACTGAAAGGGAATTATTGGGGAGGGGGGCTAATAACACCAACCAAACGGGGTATTCTCTGTCAGGCAAGAGCTGGCAAGTTATAGCAAAACAGCAACATTTTGAAAATGAAGTAATAATCCAGTTTGAAGATATATAACAGTCTTATCGAGTATCTCCTCTTCATCGGGAAATAAAACAATTCAGTAGAGGTAAAAACCATCTCCAGGCAAACCCGTGGCTATCCGGCAGCCATTTAAACTGGCCCCATCTGTGGCAGTCATCCGGCAGCCCCTACAATGGGCCAAGAAGCCCCCAGATGCCACACGGAGCCTTGAAGTTCCACGACGTTCTCAGAATGCTGACTGAAAGATGGCGGCAGGTTGGATCCATCGTAGCGGAAGCCTGCTGCGCTCTCATTGGCAGTGCCCAAGGGAGCGGAGGTGGGTTTGACTCCCCCCTGGCCAACCCTCCCAGAAACTGGGGAGGGGAGAAAAATATATTGCTGGGGAGGGAGTGGGGTTGTAGCCCTACAAACCACCAAATCAAAGAATGCCTTTGGTCACAAAATACCCAAATGGGGAGTGGCCAGGGGGAGGTGTCACACAAGAAGTGAGCATTCCGTGGAGGGGAGAAAACATTTTCCAAAACACCTACTTGCCTTTTTTTTTTAAATTCTATGTTTTAAAAAAATATACTGTGGGAGTTGCAGCCATACAAAGAGGGGTTTGTGGAGGAGGGGCAGAGACGCCATTGCGGGACAGGCGGGGAGGGGAATTTGTTACAGTCTCACATGGGACACGACAGTGGCGGCCAGGGTGAGAAAAGTCACAGTCCGCAAAACTGATTGGCTCGCAAGGAGGAGGAGGAGTCACTCGTCTTCCTCATCCTCCTCATCCTCCGGAACTTCCTCTCCTTCGTCCTCAAGCTCTCGTTTTCGTTTCTCGCCCTGCGGGATGTCTGCAAGGAGGGATTTAAACAAGGGGAGGGAGACGGTCAACGAAGCCCCATCTTAAGAGCCGGGAAAAGATAATGACAGTCTAGCACAGGGCAGTGATCAGAGGGTCGGGGCCAGGATGCTAGGTGAGCCAGGATGCCTGCCACAAAGTTAACTGGTGGACCGCCGAATCAGTCCTGCTCTCTCTCCCCTTCCCTACCACCCTGGAAGGTAGTTGTGTGAACTGGACAGACAGGGAGAACCAGGCACACCAGAGCCCCCTGTAAACTGAGGGGGTCCTTAAGAAACCATGAAGAGAAATGCACATTTCTAATAATGCACATGAATCTTCTATCATCACAGTTTAGATATGCCGAGATGGGTAGCCCTGTTAGTCTGTCTTGCAGCAGCAGAAAAGAGCCAGAGTCCAGTGGCACCTTAAAAGACTAACAAAATATGTGGCAGGGGGAGGAGCTTTCGTGAGTCACGGTGCTCACTTCTTCAGAATGGCCAGGGGGTCACGGAAATTCCTTTCTGAATCCAGCTTTTCAGCAAAAGACTGGGATCCACGACCAATACAGAACAAAAAAAGACAAATTCAATTTTAAGAAAACAAAAACCTTCCTTGAAGGATTCTTAGATGGGCACTTCCAGCCCTCCACCTATTAAGAACTGGACAGAGGGCATATTTGACAAACCTGATGAATTTATATTTCCCCCCTATGCTTTCTTCCCTTCTGTATCCCACTTTTTTGACAAAATAATCTATATATTTTTAAAAGAACTGGACAGAGGGGACCCTGCATCTAAGCACAAGCAGAGGGAGGGAGGGGTTCTTTCTCCCCTTCCATGGCCAAAGACCTATGCTGAGACTATCAACTAACGACCCTTATAACATCAAAACTACCCAGGGTGCAAATGTATCAAATTTGCCAAGGAGGCCGCTGGGTAAAAAACCCCCCAACCAGTATTTCAGAGATACTCACCCTCTTCACCGTCATCATCATCTTCGTCTTCTCCTCCCTCCTCATCTTCTTCCTCCTAAGGAAGAAAGTTATGGTTAAGACTCCCATTTCAGTTGCCAGCTTCAATTTCTTATCCAACGATACCATAACCACTCCAAGCGCCACTACAAATTCAGACCCATACCCCTTAGCCTGTGCACCTAAGCTAATTTTTTCTTTTCCCCACTTCTAGTGGCAGTGAGTTTCAGGGGATAAGAACATAAGGGACAGCAATGTTGGATCAGGCCAAAGGCCCATCCAGTCCAACACCCTGTGTCACACAGTGGCCAAAAATACCAGGTGCCCTCAGGAGGTCCACCAGTGGGGCCAGGACATTAGAAGCCCTCCCGCTGTTGACCCCCCCCAAGCACCAAGAAGACAGAGCATCACTTGCCCCCGAGTCCCTATCTAGACCTTGTGGCTAATAGCCACTGATGGACCTCTGCTCTATATGCTTATCTAATTCCCTTTTGAAGCCGTCCATACTTGTAGGATAGTTGGGATTTCCCTGTATGCCAGACTCAAAATTTCCCTGTATGCCAGTATGGATAGTTGGGATTTCCCTGTATGCCAGACTCATCAGGAGACGTGTGCATTACATGCAGAAGGTCCAATCCATATAGCTCCAGGAGTTGACTAGCATACCTATGGGGCCGTCTTTCCCCATATGCGCCCCGGAGAGCCTTGCGCTCTGCAGATCAACATCTACTGGTAGCAGTGTTCCCTCTACGCTGAGTTAATGTGAGCTAGCTCACAGTTTTTCAGCCTCCGGCTCACACATTTTTGTCTTAGCTCAGGCAGGAGGGCTCCAGAGCAAACTAATTGATGCAGCAGCCAAATGGCTCACTCACAGTTTTAATGCCAGCAGCTCACAAAGTAGGATTTTTGCTCACAAGATTTCACAGCTTAGAGGGAGCACTGACTGGCCCGAAAGACGTCTGCTTAGCCTTTTCTGCCCTGGCCCCGGATTGGTGGCGCACACTCCTATCTGAGATCAGGGCCCTTGGGACTTATGGTCTGAGCCACTGTGATAAAGTGGTACACACTCCACGTTAACAACTTGGGGAAGCTGGGTCAGCAATCAAATGTTGACCAGCGTTTCATGGACGATGGTGTCGTGGGTCAGCCTGAGCCCAGCATCAGGTCCTCAGGGGGAGAGGGCGCCTCAGGAGAAGGGGAGCCATGCATGGCTGGCTCTGAGTCAGCAGAAGCCAGCAAACAGGCTGGTGAGCGGCAGGGAAGACCAAGACTCACCACCAACGGCTGATCTAGAGCCACTGCCCAGCTTTGATGCAGCAGGTGAGACTCAGTTGATCAAGACCAGTCCGCCAAGCTCACCTCTACCCTTGGAGTGCCGGAGGCAGGAGCTGAGAAGGGAGCTGTGCAAGCAAGGAGGCAGAGTGCACGTCTCCTGGCCTGTCACCACTTGTTTGCTGATGAAGGCCTGGAGCAGCTGGCTGCTAACAAGGGCTCATCAGGAAGTGCCTAGAAAACCCAGGGCTGGGAGCCTGCACGTTGTGGGAGCAACAAGTCATTTTGCCGGACTCTGCATCCGCAACTCCTGACCCTGCTTTCTTTGTGCGACCTTGGACCGGCTTCGGACTTTGGCTTTTTGACTCTCTGGCTTGTGGATGACCCTTGGACCTCCTGACTACGCCATCTGCTTCACCCCTTCTGGTAAGGACCCTCTGGCTTGTGGACTTCTGGGACTGAACTCTGGACTCTGTGTGAGCGCCTGAATAGGTGTGGCTTGCCTGCCTGTGCCTGCTACACGGTAGATGGCCTTGAATGGGAGAAAGCGTTCACGCGGAGATGAGGAAGGCTACATCCACATGCCCCGACATGGCTAGCTAAGGCCTCACCCAGTCTCATCAGATATCGGAAGCCAGGCAGGGTCAGCCCTGGTTAGTACTTGGACCAAAGAAGTCCAGGGTTGCTACGCAGAGGCAGGCAATGGGAAGCCACCTCTGACTATCTCTTGCCATGACAACCCCACGGGGTGGCCCGTAGGTCGGCTGCAGCTTGACGGCACTTTCTACCACCACCTCTTGCACTCGGGAACGCTGCCATTGGTTTACTCGGGTGTTTCAAGGCCATGCTTTATTATGGGTTAGCTGTGGGGGGAAACAAGCTGCGTGCACATAATGTGGATGGCACAACAAAAAGTTATATGACTTATGCGGACTGTTATATGCGGCTGAACTGACACACGCTTAAATTGACCTGGGGGTTTAGGAGGTCTAATGAAAACTGCACTGGAAGAGAGGTTCTAATCAATGTTCCCTCTAAGCTGTGGAGTCTTGTGAGCAAAAATTCTATTTTGTGAACTACTGGCATTAAAGCTGTGAGCGAGAGATTTGGCTACTGCATAAATTAGTTTGCTCTGGAGCCCTCCTTCCTGAGCTAAGACAAAAATGTGTGAGCCGGAGGCTAAAAAACGGAGCTAGCTCACACTAACTCAGCGTAGAGGGAACACTGGTTCTAATCAGAACGCTGCTCTTGAAAAGCAAAAATTGGCAATCTGGTACAGTGGCTAGAATGTCAGACCAAGACTGTTGCATTCTGGGTTCCAATCCCTATTCCCTGGGCCAACCCCTCTCCCTCTCAGACTAGCCCACATTAAAGGGCTGTCACAGGGGGAGACCCCCGTATTGGCTCCCTGACCTGGTCGGAGGAAGACCGTGGCAGATTTTGGAGGCTCACCTTAATTAACTTTCTCTTTTCTGAAAATCAAGGAAACCTTATTTGTAAAGGGTTCTATTTATTTATTTATTATTTTACAGTTCATGAACCCTCACAATTGTGAGGGTTGGAACAGCTAAAATATTCAGGATGTAGGTCTCTCAACAGGGTCAGGTTTTCCTCCACTAGAGCAGTGCCCCAAAGACAATGTACACCTCACCACCAAGCACCAGGGAGGGAAAGCGGGAAAAGGGGGAGGGGCAGCCTTCCTCTCCTCACCTCATCTTCTACTCCATCTTCTTCCTCTTCCCCATCCAGATCCTCCTCCTCGTCTTCGTCATCTACAAAATCTTCGTCCAGTTCTTCCTCGAACTCTTCGTCCTCGTCCTCGCTTTCTGAAATGTACGAAAGAGGAAGGAAGAGAGAAACCGTTTGAATAAGGAGGTTTCCTGCTCCAGTGGACTGTGTCAACAATAGAATGTTGGCCAACATTCTGTGAGGGAAAAAGACGGCAGTGCTGAATGAGAGGATGAGGGGGCTGTATCCCAGGGGCAAGTATTTAGGATGAGCTCCTCTGTCCTCCAAGCATCATGGCGGTGTTCCCTCTAAGCTGAGTTAGTGTGAGCTAGCTCAGTTCTTTACCCTCCGGCTTAGCTTAGAAAGGGTGGCTCCAGAGCACACTAACTTATGCAGCAGCCAAATCACTCACAACTTTAATGCCAGTAGCTCACAAAGTAGAAATTTTGCTCACAGGACTCCACAGCTTAGAGGGAGCATTGCTTCATGGGTTAGTTTTTTTTGGGGTGGGGGCAGGTCTTGAGGCTCAAGCCCAAAACCCAAGGGGATTCAGACAAGGACTGTGCGATTGTCAAGCTCTGGTCAAAGAAGAAATAACAGGGAAATCAGATGACCGCTGAAATGAGTACTAGTGTGGAGTAGCCGTTTGTGTACCAGACTAGAACTTCGTAGATGTGGGTTCAAATTTCCCACTTGGCTATGAAACGTAGTGAGAGAGCTTGGGCCAGTCACCCTCTAGTGGGCCGGTCATTTCCACAGCACCTTCCAGGTCCCTGCTGTAAGAAGGTAACTGCCTACCACGCGGTCCATCCGCCCCTCATCTCGCCTTTCGGTCCCCTTTCTGCAGGGAACACATTCCTTACCGTCTCCGTTCTCCTCGTAGTCGTCATCCAGGCCGTCTGCTTCAGGGTCCGAATCGGGGGCCTCCTTGTCACTGGAGTCGAAGCCGTCCAAGTAGGTCAGCTGGGGCAGCAGGGCGAAGACACTCTCCTGGTAGTTGATCAGCATCGTCACCTCGCAGTTGAAGAGGTCCAAACTCCGTAGGTGCGGCAATTTTTTCTACGAGAAGCCAGAACCGTCACCGTGCCGCCCCCCCTGCTTTGCAAACTAAACTGGCCTGCGTGTTTCAGCTAACCAGGAAGGCCCACGTTCAGCTCTTAACCCCGTGGTATCAATCTTGCAAGAGGCCGCTTCGCTTCAGCCCTCCCTCATCCCCAGGAGAGGGGATAACACTGGCCTACCTAACATGGACGTTGGAAGGCTTACTTCAACAACCTCTCTCTTCCCCTCGCTCCCTCCTCCAAGAAAACTACGTAAGGCCAAGGCTTTAATTTTTTTTTTTAAACCATCAAAGCAAATATTTACAAAGTCAAACCTATATACGCATTATCAGTTTTACGGTTCAGGAAAACAATGAAAAGGCACCTTCAGTCTTGCAGGAGGGAATAAAATGGACTGTACCACTTCACATGGAAAACTGAGGGGACAGAACCACGCTCTCTCGCAGCTGTGGGACTTTTTTAAATTGTGGGATTTTGTGACACAGAGAGGATTCAGAGCTAGAATCCACCACCGAAGCCCAGCCGGCTTCCCCTTCAGGAGTGCTTTTCCTCTCCCTCCTACTCACCAGGGGCTCCAACGTGTTAATGTCCTTGATTTTGTTCCCGCTCAAATTCAAATGCGTCAGGTTGGGGGTCTTCTCTGCCAGGACTTCCAAACCGCCAGAGATGTGATTGTCACTCAGCTCCAGCTACCAAGAGCAGGACAGACGAGAGGGGTCAGAGAGGGCCGCTCGACAAAAGAGAGGCGGCCATTTTCAGGCCAAGATATGCTCTACATTTGCAGGGGACGTTCCCGAGCACAACCCGGGTTCCGAGGCGGCTAGGACGTTATGTGTCGCTGCCTTGCCATTTCAGACACGACCCCAGGAAAAACTACTCAGGTTTCCCCACCTCCTCCCACCAACCCCTATATCGTGTAAAATCCCGCTCCCCGTCCCCGGACCAAATGTCTTCATAATATTCCTGAGATAGCCCAGCACTTAACAAAGCAATTCATATTCATTTCTCTCGTTGGAAAGCCGTGCGCTGTTCTTAGCCAACTTAATGGAACATCATATACAGAGTTTAAACTTTATCCAGGCTACAGTTTTGGCTTTTTAAAAAACAGAGACAAGTTTGTGGGATCCATGGGTCACAGGGGCCAAGTCTAGACCCCTGCGAGACTGAAAATGGATGTTCAGGGAGAATCTTTGCTCCAAATGGTGTGCAAAAGAAAGATTTATGCGATCTGAAGAGAAACCAGTGTGTGTGTGTGCTCTTTTAAAAGACGGTACTTTCTCTGCATACCTGCAAAATTCTTCAGACAGAGCCGAGCACAAGCAGAGGACCCCGTCTCTTAGCCTCTCAGAGGAACAGCCCTCCCATCCAAGGCTGCCACGCAATGCCTGGCAACCAGCAGAAAGGTGGGGGGGGGGCACTGAGTTGTGGGGAGAATGTTTTAAAAAACGCAGCCTCATGTACTTACTAGAAACTCTATGGTAAAACCATAGCATTTCCAGCAATTCTTAGAGCTACCTCAGAAGTGACAAAGGGTAGCTCTACGAATCACCAGAAACTCTATGGTAAAACCAAAGAGGTTTCCAGCAATTCCTAGAGCTACCATTTACTTCTGGTAAGAACTTCCAGTAAGAACACAAGGCTGCTTAATAATAATAAAAAAAACACCTCCCACTGCTGCTCCTTGTGGTGCTGAGCAATGCAACCTGGGAAGGCAGACCTCCTGCCCCCACCGGGGGCTTGGTAGCTTTATTCCCACCTCCTCACCTTCCGAAGTTTGCTGAGCTTAGGGAGGTTGGAGACAGAGAGCAGGTTGACGTTGATCATACTGAGGAACTCAAGGTTTTCAAAGTCCGAGGAGAGGCCGCAGATTTTCCCATTGTCCGAGCGACAGTTGTCCAGCACCAGTTTCTTCACCTGGAAAGAGAAAAGCGGGGGGGGGGGGGGGGAAGGGGGGGGGCCCCTAAACCTCTCCAGTGTGGGACATATCTAGCCTAGTGGTCATCTCTGCTTTTCAAACAGTATTTATACCCCGCCCTTCACTACCCAAAGGAGGCCCTTCCCCCCAACAAACACCCTGTCAGGTAGGTGGGGCTGAGAGAGCTCTTGACAGAAGCGGCTCTTTTTCAAGAACAGCTCTGAGAGAACTATGGCTTGCCCAAGGTCATCCAGCCAGGTGCAAGTGGAGGAGTGGGGACTCAACCCCGGTTCTCCCAGATTAGAGTCCGCGCACTTAACCACTACACCAAACTGGCTCTCGAGGTTTTAACTACACTTCATGCGTCACCCTGGGTCCACTGAATGGGGAAAGGACGCGTACAAATATTTTAATAAGTAAAATCAATACTAAAAAACAAAGAAACTGGGATTCGAGGGTCAAACTGGGCCGAGACTGGCAAACAGTGGTTATTACTGGGTAATTACTTGTATTCTCTCTCACTCGAAGTCTGCTCTTTACTCACTTTTTCACAAGCGCACGGTCTGCTTACAGATTTGCTGACTCTCCACACAGCACATTTAATTTTTATTTACATTTTCTTATTC